ATGTTTAATGAGGCAGAACCTGAAGAACGCAGGGGTCAATCCATAAGAGGAAGCATTGCTTTGAAGCGGGGCACGTGGACCGATCATTAAGTCATTTTTATGAAGTGAAATGAGAATGATTTCTCATTAAAATATGAAATTTGAGATTTTGAAAAACAAGTAAGGTTTCTTACCCAGTAAATAATTTAAGTCCTTCGGGCCATCAGTAAGTCTTTCGAGCATGATGATGAAATCCTTCGGGTCATCTGTAAGTCTTTAGAGCAAGATGATAAGTCATTCGGGCCATCCATAAAGCCTTCGGGTAGGATGTTTTCACATGAATTTGAAAAATAAGAAAGTGATGTTTTAAGAAAATGAAACCTTTGAAAACTAAAAAGGCGATTTCCAAAATTTCTCACTTAGTAAGTCCTTCGGGCCATCAATAAGTCTTTCGAGCATGATGCTTAAATCCTTCAGGCCATCAGTAAGTCTTTCGAGCATGATGATTAAATCCTTCAGGTAATTTGTAAGCCTTCACTGAAGAGTAGTGAAGCAAATCCATCAGTAAGTGCCATCAGTAAGTCTTTCGAGCATGATGATTAAATCCTTCGGGTAACTGGTAAGCCTTCACGGAAGAGTAGTGAAGCAAATTCATCAGTAAGTCTTTCGAGCATGGTAATTAAATCCTTCGGGTAATTTTTAAGCCTTCACCGAAGAGTAGTAAAGCAAACCCATCAGTAAGTCTTTCGAGCATGATGATTAAATCCTTCGGGTAACTGGTAAGCCTTCACGGAAGAGTAGTGAAGCAAATTCATCAGTAAGTCTTTCGAGCAGGATGTTGAAACCTTTCGGGTCATCAGTAAGTCTTTCGAGCATGATGATTAAATCCTTCGGGTCATCCATAAGTCCTTCGGGTAGGATGTTTTCACACCAAGGTGATAAGTCATTCGGGCCATTTTAAGCCTTCTCGGAAGAGCGTTGGAGCAAGCTATCAGATCATCAGATGTGAGAGGAAATTGAAGGTTCTCGAGTACAAAGAAGTGGATCAATTGATTAAAAGAAAATGTGCACGAGGAGTCATTAACCAATTCAAGGTCTTAGAAAGAGAGATGTTCAGATGGCAGCCTAGTCCAAGAAGATTCTCATATCTAGCTGTTGCGAGACAAGCTCCCGCAAGAGAAATGGATTCTCAAATATTCTCTTAAATTCTAATTTTTTCGAGTATAATGTTTTTCAAATCTTCAAGCATACATTAATGAGTGACAACGTTTGATTTTCAGGTTTAACCCTCGAAGTTGAGCCTTCATGGAAGAATAGTGAAGCAGAATCACACCAGAAGATTGTTCGAGTTCTACTCCCTGAAGCAAGAGGGAGCGAACCCGTAGACAAAAGATTGTTCGAGTTTTACTCCCTAAAGCAAGAGGGAGCGAACCCGTAGGCAGAAGATTGTTCAAGTTCTACTCCCTGAAGCAAGAGGGAGCGAACCCGTAAGCAGAAAATTATTCAAATTCTACTCCCTGAACAAGAGGGAGCAGACCCGTCATTCGAAGATTTTTCAAGTCTCATTTATCCCGAAGTAACAGTGAGTGGTTTAATCTTTTGAAGTTCTCATGACCGGAAAAACTCGATCATCTTTTGATCTTTGCTCTATTCTCGTTATACGACAATGAGCAAAGAGGGGCAGCTGTAGATGCTCGTTTTTATCCGAGTCTAGGTCGGAGCAGGCCCGAAGCAAACCAATTACAGGCCCCATTCAAGCCCAATGGACAACAGATATATGCATAAGAAGATAGCAGTTTGAGGGTCGGTTTTTAGCAGTTTTTGTTTTTAGGAGATAACCACCCATCATCAGTTTTAATGGGATTAAACTAAAGGAAATGGGGATCAGTGGGAAGATAACATTACACGATCAGGGAGGGACATCAACGAGGGGAGATCACAAAAAAGAGAGGATTAAGAACGAGAGAAAATAGAAACCATTGTGACGGAAAAAGAGAACCTTCATTGTTTTCTTTTACAGAAAGTAGAGAGCAAAACAAAAAACAATATACTGTATTCCATTTTTTTTCTTCTTCAATTTGGAGATCAAAGGAAACAAAATTCACTGGTTTCAACGAACTAAAGCAATTCAAAGCAAATTCCTTCAAGGTTCATTTTCTTTATCATTATGTACATTAGCATTTCCTTTGCCAATTTTCAATTTTTTTTTCTTTCAAATAAATCAGTAAATAAATTACATTTTATATGTCTAAAAAGTTCCATAGGAATCATAGATTTAGGTTTTCATTCGAAATAAATAATAAGGAAATAGGATAGGGATTTACCTGGACTGTTTGAATGCAAGTAGGGGCATACTGACTCCATTTTTTCTTCTTCTTTGGTCCGTGTTCTAATATCAAAAGAAGGATAAGATTAGGCTTTGTAAATTTTTCGAAACAAAACCATAGTAATAAGAGAAAGGATCTAGATAGTTTACCTCGCAATGCGTCGTTGTTTGGTGTTGAACTTGTTGGCCTTAGAAGCTTGAGTGTCCGAGAGGCTTTAAAATGGTGATAATAAGAGAGTTTGGGGTCGATTTAAGTTTGTTTATGAGTTATACAATAATCGAAAGTGACGATCGGGGTGTTTGATTTTGGGTATTGTAGCCAGTCGTGTATGGTGTTTCAAGGAAATGAGTGACACTGTTGTTGGCTAGAGGTTTGGTCTGGGTATCGAACGGAGTCGAGCCACCAAGACGTGGTGGCCGAGAGATGGAGCAGCGGTAGATTTCCTTTTCTGGTTTGGGCAATGTGCGAGCGTGGGGAAGAAGAAGGGAGAGATAGAGAAGAGGAGAGGAACGGCTGGGTTGTGAGTTTAGGATTAGGTTTAGTTTATAATTAGAATTTATATTAGAAATGTTAGGGTTAATTATTCGTAAGTCACCGTTTTTTAGGAGTTATTAGCGCGAGGTCCGATATATTTAGTTTAGTATATTTTAGTCCTTGATTATAATCTTTTATTTTTCATTTTAGTTCTCATATTTTTCGTATATTCGATTTCATCCTTAATTAGAAATGTACTTAAAATCTGTTTTTTAGACATTTCACTCTTAATTTTCGCATGTTTCGTTTTAGTCCATGTTTAAGTTTATTATGTGTATGTATGTATGATTAGTTAGGATTCATTTAAGGTGTATGTTTATCCTAATGTTGAATGATGGCGATATGTGTGCATATGTTATTATATATGGTTCATAAGCATGGATTTAGATGTAATATATCATTTTATTTAATTGATCTTTACATGACATCATTTTGGCATAATTTGCATGATAGCCTCATTTGCATAACTCGACCATATTCATAATTGGATTAAGGGTAATATACTTTTAATTTAAAATTATTTTAAATGGACAGTCATAACTGATTTGAGGTCCGCTTTTAATGATTTTAAAATAAAAGTATATCCCGAAAGTGAAACTTAAAAAATTAATTTGTCACCTAAAATATGGGAACGAGAGAAAAGGAAATGTTCGTTTATTTAAATTTATCGAGAAAAGGTTGTTATATCTTTTAAGATCTGGTCTCGATATTTGTAAATAATCGAACATTCTTTATCTTTCTAAAATGACTCGATAATTTTTAATTTAATTTGTTTGAGTGTTTTTGAATGTTTTAAATTTACATTTTTATTTTATGGGATCAAAACTCAAATTAAGTTCGAATTTGTAAAGTTCATTGCAAAAACGTTAATTAATCAACTAGGTACCGATTTAGGGCGTTGTGGGGGTGCTAATCCTTCCCCACACGTAACCGACTCCCGAACTCGAATTTTGGTAACGCAGACCTCAATTTGTTGTTTTAATTAAAATTAATTTTTATTTAAAATGACAAAGCAGTTTTGGGTGCCCAATCACACCCTAATCAAAGATTGGTGGCGACTCTTCGAACCGTATTTTTCGATCGTAAAGGAAATTCAAAATTTTCGAAACAAGAGGTCTTTTAAATCGCATTTGTTTTTAAATTAAAAATCAATTAAAAAGAGATAATTAAGAATTAATGTTGGTTTTTTAAAATCTCACCTTTTTTCACCTTTTAAGAAAAAATTGTTTCGACAATGGCTGCCTTTATATTCCTAATATTCACCATGATTCAAGCTTTCTTTGCTATCTATGCATACATCCCTCTAGATACACGTAAATTAAGGATGAACTGAAAGAGGATTGTAGGAGACGGTTATTCCTGAAAAGTTTAAATTCTCATATAATTTAGATATTTTATTTTATATTTTTCTTGTAATTCATTTTTGTCCTTTAAAATTTTATAAGTTAACTCTTCTTTAAAATTTTACCCCTATGTACTTTCTGAATATAAAATTATGTATCAATCTCTAACTCAAACTCACCTATGATAAATCAATGAAGTTGGTAAATTGCTCGTGAAATTTGACGAAAGAGAAACACAGCAAGAGGTAAGCATGTCGGTAAAAGGAACATAACTGTAGCTTTTGCACCATCCATTGTCAGTGCACCAAATGTACTGTGGAGTAGTAATTAGATTTCAATAGTTATATAATACAAATATATTTGACATAAAAATCTAGTAGGATAAATATTAATGGTATTAGTCGGGTATTTTAACCCTCATATTTATTAAATTAATATATAAAAATAAATAAGTTTTTAAATTAATTTAATAACTAGACATTTAATTATAAGAAATATTCTAATTATGTATTTAATTTATACTTATAATTATAAATCATCATTGTAATTTTGAAATTTTCTTTTTTAATAAAATTAGCGGATTAGACCATTTTCCCATTAATTTGTCATTTAATTTGTTGCACTACTTAAACAAAAATCTAAACAAATCTTTGGGAATTGACTAATCAAATATTTACAAAATGCTATGTGACAAAAAAAAGCAAAAGGAACACGACAATGGTAGAAGAAAACAGTGGCTGACTGTAAAGTCTCACCCCCACCATATGCGAGACTGTCCATCTCCATATATTGAGGTTACGACAAGATCGAAATACATCCGACACTATAATTTTACGTTCGTACAATGGATACAGATGGTGGGATTAGGGGTAGTGGTGTTTTGTCACACTGGATGGATTGGAAACTGTGGAAGTTGACACACAAATAATTGCGGTCTGTATAAATCTGTGATGTCCTAAACCTCAAAACTCTACAAGAGATAGAGTGGAGAAACACAATAATGACAGGGTTCAAGCATCTTGTTATCGTCAAGTTTAAGGCCGATTCCGTAGTCGACGACATACTTAAAGGAATGGAGAAGCTGGTTTCGGAGATCGACATCGTCAAATCGTTAGAATGGTATGCTCTTTTTTTTCTTTTTCTTTTTAAGATATTGTCTCAGGGAAACATGGATTTTCCATGTGGAGTGATGGAAGTGTTTTCTTGCAGGGGTGAAGACATTGAGAGTGAAGAGATGCTTAGACAAGGGTTTACACATGCCTTCTTGATGAGTTTCGACAACAAAGAGGATTACTCTGCGTTTGTCGGACATGCAAGTCATGTTGAATTCTCTGCAACGTTTTCTGGTGCCATTGACAAGATTGTGCTGCTTGATTTCCCTTGTGTTGTTGCAAAGGGTTCGGCTTGATGATTTTCCACAATTACTAGATTGGCATCCGTTGTTTGTTCTCTCTTGTATTTGTGCATCTATGTGTTATGGCTTGTAATTGCTGTTAATTTCTGAACAATCTCAATTTGTATTATGTTTTGTGTTCGAATATTTAAAGCTTCACTGCAAAGTGTTGGTAATATGAAGAATTTAGTAGAGTAGTACCAACTTGTTTCCCGATATTTGAATGAACGAATATTAAAGAGCTGTGTTATTCTTAGGGGTAACGATTACACCGACAAGTTAAATTTACTTATAAGAGAGTAATCTATGCTACAACACAATTAAATTTCATTTTGATTTCTTTTGAATTAAATTGCCGCCAATGTTTATATTTTATTTTTCACCAGTCTCATTTTCTTCGACAATAAGGACCCTTTCGAGTCTGAATCCAGAGCTTAGTTCAATCGTTTACTACATTTGAATATTCGAATGTCAGGTTAAGTTATTTTATTTTCTCATATGATCGAAGGATTAAGTTGAGAGGGAAAATTGGGCAAGAAAGTTGACAAATTAAGACAAACAATCAAACATGGACACAAGTGAATAGTTTCTTTATGTGTTCTTACAGGCATAAATCAACAAAGAGAATTCAACTCTGTCATGTTCATTCTGCAACAACTTCTCCTCCAACCAAAGCCGACTACCCAGTTCGCTTCTTGTCCTAAACATGAACACGACAGATCCGGTGACCGGCTTGAAGAACCAGTCATGGACATCCCACATCAGATCAACTAACAATCCATCAACGAATATTGTGCGGTTTCCTCTTAAATTCCACTGCAGTCTCTTCACATGAATCTCCGTCTTCTTGTCGATACAGACCGATAAAACCGGATGGTTTAGGCCTCGATGTTCTCCACTACATCTAATGGAAACATCATGTACGATGCCCCTGTCACAGAATTGAGACTTGTTCGAATAATGTGTATTATTGCCCGAACAATGATCTTGCCGAGAAACTAGAGACGATTTCGCCACTTTGGTGGTAATAGTCTTGAGCTTCTTCACCAATATGGCCTAGAAAAAGGCCTATCTCCGAATCAACTACAACCACGACATAGAATCTGTTGACCGGTTCGGGTCCCGTGTCGTACTCGGCGGTCGATAGATCCCAAAAGACTTCTATCTTCGAATGACCAGATTCGGTCGCTTTGTTGTCTTTCTTCTTCTCGAAAAGCTTCGAATTCGTGTTGAACTTGAAACACGTCGAAGGGTCATCGTCACCGAAGTTTATGACAAGGCCTTGACTGAACTGATTCTTGGACCATGTGTCTCTGATCAACAGCTGCTTGCCAGTCGAAAGAATCACTTTGTAAACACGTGACTGCACTTTTTAGTGAAGGAACTGAACTTTGAGAGATGCAGGCATTGCTTGGATAGCTTGAGCATGAAAACTGAGAAACATTGACTGCATTTTCACTAAAACATGAAATAATTTCTCTCACTGTCCTGAAAAAACCAGGAACACATGTAAGGAAACTGGACAAGTTTCTGTTGGAAATAATAACAAAGCAGGCGCAGATTCATTAGTGTTTCAAAAATCTCTCACCTTATATATAATCTGCTATAAACAGGGAAAGAAACAGACGTGAATTGCACGAAAATCCTTCCAAGCTATGCTTTCTTTGGTCACTTCAGCCACATATAAATATTAAAAAAAAAAAGTACAGAAAAGGAATAAAAAAGATAGAAAAAACAAGCTGGAGTGTTGGACTTGGACCTGGTCTGAATATCAGCATTTGCTGTCATCATATAAGAGAGTTTGTATATTTCTTTTATATAATCCCGATACTCAATTTATTGGTTTATTAATTTAAATTAAATATTATGAAATTTTATTGTAAGACGACTCTCTCATCTCGATTTGCATCATTCATATTGTTAAAAATTGAATTTCTATCTTTATTTTATTTACTTTAAAGAATATGTGAATACAAAAAATAATTAAATTATATTCTTATATTCAACAATCATGACAAATTAAAAGATAAAACCAAATGTGGATTCCTTATTTCAATGTCAAATTCTTGATGATGTCATTAGACATGTTGCCGTTCATATATGAAACAAAAGAAACTTGGTCAACTTGTGAGGTAGAGATATATAAGGTTTGGATTTGTTAAACTAATGAGGTTTCAGTTGTAAATGTATAGCTGTTAGGGATACAAAAGCAAATTTCCAAGACTATATATATATATAAATATATGAAGAGTTAATTGCATTACACGTTCTGAAACTATAATTTTTATTCTAATTTGGACTCTAAACTTTTGAATGTGTCAATTTCATCTCTAAACTATCCTCATTCTGAATTAGTCTTTTAATTTTTTAACATTCTATTTTTATTTTCAAACTATGATATTCATTCTAAATTAGTCCATAAACTTTTGAACATTTCAATTTCATCCAAAACTATTAGTATAAGCTAACCATATCCCATGTTAATAAAACCATTAGATCAAGTTACATTATTATATGTTTAAAAAAAATAGGTTAAACCATGGTTAAAACTAATTTCCTATTTGGATGAGAATGGAAGATGAAAAGTTTGGAGGGAATTTAAAATGAGGATCATAATTTGAGAATAAAATTAGAATGTTCAAACGTTTAAAGACTGATTTAAAATAAAAATAATAGTTTAGGAATGAAATTAAAATATTTAAAACTTTAAATACGAATTTAAGATGAGAATCATAATTTAAAAACGTCTTATATAACTAACTCATATTAACCAAATCCAATGACAAATATATTTAATTTTTAATAAATTTGAAGGATTATATTTGAGCATGTTTAGAATATAAGCACCATACATATAAATACAACCAAACAGAATTTTCACATAATAAGATTTAAATTAGAATAAAAATCAAACATCGAGATTCCAAAAATGTTTTGAAAATAATTTAAAAGCTAAGAGCAATTATAAACATGTTTCTAAGATTTAGGGAAAGAGGGAGACTGAAAATTAATAATTATTTCTACTTTCAAGTGTCTGTTACGAAGTAATGCTATCAACTCCAAATAATTTCCTCAAGTAAAGGACCCATTTGCATAGCATTACAAGACAAGGTTGTTGTTGATGTTGGAATGTTTTTTTTTCTATAGAAAATTTGTTCTAAAATTGAATTTATAAGATCATCTTTTGGTAGTTTTTTTTTAAAGATAAGAACGGATCGGGTTAAATTTAGATTTAAGATGAAAAATACTTTATTGGAGCCGATAATAATAGTATAATTGACCTTTATATATTAAATGATAATTATTATAATATTCCTCTGTCAAATTATTTCAATAAGTCTTTATTTTATCTAATATAAATAAAAATTATATATATCGAGTCGGAATGTTTTTACCTTAAAAATAAGGTACTCAAGACCTAAGTCAAAAGCTTTTCACGACAACATCGTTATAATCAATTTCAACAAATCTCGACAATAAGAGAAATAAACCCCACAAAATAACTATCATAACATCGTGTTGAAGTCTCGGATGGCTTAAAAGGAGTTGTGGTTGTCGCATATGTATGACGTTTTTAAAGGGCCACATAGATGCTGTACTTATGTAGGGCAATACTATAATTAAGACACGGACATGGGGCTGAAGTGTACGAGGCTGGGACGTGGAAGTGGGAGAGGTAATTATTTCTCTAATTTTAATGATTTAATTAGTTTTAGATTATTAGTATTTTCAAATTCATTATAATTAAGTCATTTTCCCTCTTAAAATTTTGACTGTTATGGAGGACGGGTGACGGTTGGGGATGGTTCTCCGAAGGTCAACATGCGTTAAAAATAGGAAAAAATGAATGGGCGGCAGTCGATATAAAAGACAAAGCTTTTCCTCCGGGACAGCCGATTGCTGGACGACGACGAAATGGGTGAGGATTAGTGACGAACAAGATCGGATCCCTTTTGATTTAAGTCTCCGACATCGCTAGATGTTGTAGCAAATCGTTTTCCGACAAAGTAAAGTTGTCACTGACAGTGACTAATGGTTATGGTCATTTAATCACTAAATTTATATAAGTTAAAAATTTTAATTCTAAAACAAATTAAATTACTCAAATTAATTATTATTTTAATAAAAAAATTATAATTTAATTATAATCCTATTAAAATTAAAATTAAAATTTAATAAATGATTAATTATTAAATTAATTTTAATAAATCACTTTACTTTTTAATATATACATAATAAGGATAAATTTGCTTGTGATGTGTTCCGATACGTCATTTTAGTAGTATATTACAGTGTGCTACGTACGCCATGGACTCATCAATTTTTAAAAATTATATATTGTCTTGATTTTTAAAAAGTTATGAATAGAGCTCATTACATCTACATAGCATGTGTGCATTATTAATAGACAAACAAAAATCTTTTTGAGATAATTCTGATATCATTTCAAGCACTACAAGATTGCAGTTAATTTTGCTTGCAAAGATTACTAGGGTTTTAGCTTCGTTTGGTAGATAGATGACCCGATTATTTGTGTAATAACATTGCTATGTATAGATACTTATAATTTTTATTCATAATCTAATTTATAAATTTATTTGCTCCGAACATAAAATCATACGTCTCTCCTTATATTCATATATAATGAAACATTGTCTTTTCGTCTACGACAGTAATGGAAACGTGAAAATGAAATCATTTTGAACGGATCATGTTTGCATACGGATGAAATATTTCAACTCAGTTTTCATAGGACTCGATACTTGCCTAGTTTTATTAGATTGTCGTAGTGATGGATGGATCACCAAGAGAACCTTAACTCCCAATTCTGAAAATCAGTGCTAAAATAAATCCCCTGTGGTGTTGCTTTCCAAAAGCAATTCCCAGACTCTTTGCACGAACGAGTTTCGACCCCGGACACGAAAACGGTGATATCGTTCAAAGACTTGGGTCCCCAGTTGAAGTTGCACACAAAATGAGTTTTCCTCCAAAAATGAGTGATGAACTTGAACTTGAACTCTTGATCCTTCCAAAGAGTATGGTGTCCGAGATCGTCGTCGTTCGAATGGCACGTGATCTCCACTGGCTTAGCGTTGTCCGGCATGCCGTTGATGATGTGAACCTTGAATCTCACACGGAGAAGCACTTTATCCACCGATTCTGCATATCCCAGTGGCGTTTGAGAGATGAAACTTGCAAGCAAAAGCATGCAAATGAAAGGACTTGTTAGGGTATTATGATTGTAAGACATTGTTGTTTTGCATTGGATGAAGATGGGATGTTGTATTTATATGAATGAAAAAGGAATCAAATTACGTTAAAAAGGAAGTTTCATTGCTAAATTAGGTAGTATTTACCATTTACTAAAATTACGCATGATAAATTAAGTTTTACATTCCTTGTATTGACCGTTGATAGGTCTAGTTGAGTATATAATCAATTTTATTTCAGCCCCTTAATATAATTTTTATTTAATTGATATGGGTAAATTAAGTAGCATTTGCCTTTTACTAAAATTACCAAGGTGAAATTAAGTTTGACATTAATTATATTAAAGGTTGATAGAGCTAAATTAGGTATTTAATCACCATTTTTTGTCCATGCCCTGCACACCAACCCTACTGCATATTGACGAGGAGACCAACATACTTCGGAATGACAACGATTTGACGGTCCGACGGCGAGATCGGAGGCAAGAAAGCTGAGAAGTCTCGGTCTCGATTCGCCAACGTCGGGGCGTTTTTCGGCAAAACTAAGGCCAGATTCACGTTCTAAAGGCCTAGACGAGCGTCATGGTTGGAATTCAAAGGCCATCGGTGGCGGCAATCGGTGCAGCGACAGACGACGACTGGCGGTGAGACATTTCATCAGTTTCTGAAAAATTTAGAGAAAAGAGAAAGAGTTTTTTTTACAAAAGAGAGAAATGAAAATAAAAAAATATAAAAAAGAAAAATAAAGGGCTTTATAGTCCAAGCTAGGGTTGTAAATGAGACGATATAGATCACGAGTTATTCGAGATCGACTCAATCAAGGCTCGATAAATACTCTGACCGAATGGACTGGACTCGAGCTCGACTTGAGTTCTTAAAGAGCTAAAACGAGTTACTTGATATTCGACTCGAAAAACTTGTGAGCAGCTCGAAAATATAATATATTAAGATTTTATTTTTTTAAAAATAGATTATTAATAATATTAATATTTATGTATTGATTTTTCTAAAAAAATGCAGTAAGATTTTAATGTATTTAATGTTCAGGTTTGAGTTCGAGTTTGAGGCTTCAATCGAGTTAAGTTTAAGTTTTTTTTTTTCATTTCGAGCCTTTTCGAGCTGCTCACGAGCTTAAGTTAGGATTTCGTGTTCGAGTCGAGCTTGAAAATTTCAAACTCACGAGTTTTCGAGTTGAGTCGAGCTCCATTTCAGAGTTTTCGAGTCGAGTCGAGCTCAGTAATACTTGAACTCGACTCGGCTCGTTTACACCCCTAGTCCAAGCGAAACAATACCGTCTTGTATGGCTAGGGGATATTCGCGTGCCAAGTCCTTCGCAGTTTGTAAGCCTTCCATTTTGGCCATTAAATGAAACTTTGTCCTCTTTATTTCGAGCCTCATATTTACTTTACATATTATTTCCATCACTGTTTCTTTAATAATATATTTATGTATATATTTATGACTTGGACATTTTACTTCAATTCTTTTATGCTTTGGTAGTGTATATTTTTTTTAGTTCGTTTTAGTCCCTCATTCTTGTCTTATAAGATGAATGCTTAGTTTATACTTTAGACCATAGGATTAGGATTTTGTTCGATTTAGTCACTGCCTGTGATTTAGTATTTAAGGTTTAATGGTTTTATCGCATATTCCATCCTTAATATTTTGTTTCTTTTATGGTTTAATCTCTGTTTAATGTGGTTCTTGTTTCCTCTCATTTTTACTATGTATATATGTTAAAGTGTATGTATTTTTTATTTCTATTGTTATTTATTTATGTGCATTTTATGCATATGTATATTTTTTTTATAACTCTCATGAAATGTTATTGTTGTTTGCTATTCTTATAAATGTTTTACTCGTATATTTTCGAGGACATCTATCGTAGAATGGGTGTGAAAAGCGTTACTTTATAGAAGTAGTGTGATTCGATACAACATTCGAATGAAAAGCGAACTTGAAATAAATTGAGTCTATTTTGAGTAAAAATTGTATATTCATATATTCTTTTGATGATTGCTTTTTTTTTCAAACTTACTTTAAATAAAATAAACGTATTTTTTAATTTTCCTACTTTCTTTAACTAAACCGATAGTACAAATTTCTTAGGGTGTTCGAATAAGTTGGTAAATTATTATTATTTTTTGTTTATATAATGACAATATACATGTTTTGTTTTCTTTAATAACATATTTCATTATATTATTCGACATTTTATCGCACAAATATCCGGCATATGTATTCTTGTTACCATGAATAAAGAGAGGACGCTCTTTTATAGAGAAGAAATCGAATAGATAGCATTCCTAATAGTTGGAGTGCAAATCCCGTGGCCTCTTCTTAAAATAAGGAATGATCTCTATTAAATAATTCGAAACAAACTAATCAATGTTCAATAAATGTATCATAATTTAATCTTCTGTTCGAATTTTTAATTTCCACCACGACAACGTACAACGATTAGTACCAATTTTTGGACGTTGTGGGGGTGCTAATCCTTCCCCACGCGTAATCGACTCCCGAATCATTCAAAATGAATCTTTGATAACGCATACCAATTTTTGTCTTAAAAACGATTTTTCTTAAAAAAATTTAAATGACGTTTTAGGTATTCGACCTACATAACCCAAAGGTCGATGGCGACTCCCAAATCAATTTTATCAAAATAACACAAATTTTTTATTTTTCCCAAATAAGTCGTAAATTCGAGGTTTTCATCGAAAACTTGTTAGTTCGTCAAAAAAGACGTTACGACAAGGTATATAATAAATTTTCTTTCATCCCATTAATATAATTTTTCTTTGATTAATCTGGGGTAAATTAAGTAGCATTTACCTTTTACTAAAATTACTCAGGTGAAATTAAGTTTGACATTAATTATATTAACCGTCGATAGTGCTAGATTAGGTATATAATAAATTTACTTTCCACCCTTTAATATATTTTTTTATTAATCTAGGGTAAATTATGTAGCATTTACCTTTTACTAAAATTACGCATGAGAAATTAAGTTTGACATTTATTATATTAATCGTTGATAGGGCTAGTTGGGTATATAATAAATTTTCTTTCTACCCCATAATATAATTTTTTTATTAATCTGGGGTAAACTAATTAGCATTTTCCCTTTACTAAAATTACGTAGGAGAAATTAAGTTTGTCATTAATTATATTAACCGTTGATAGGACTAGATCGAGTATATAATAAATTTTCTTTCAACCCCTTAATATATATATTTTTTGATTAATCTGGGGTAAATTAAGCATCATTTACCTTTTACTAAAATTACGTAGGAGAAATTAAGTTTTACATTTATTATATTAATCGTTGATAGGGCTAGATTGGGTATATAATATTTCTTTCAACCCCTTAATATAATTTTTTGATTAATCTGGGGTAAATTAAGTTGCATTTACCATTTACTAAAATTACGCAGGAGAAACTAAGTTTGACATTCATTATCTTAACAGTTCATAGGGCTAGATTGGATATATAATAAATTTTCTTTCGACCCTTTAATATATTTTTTTGATTAATCTGGTGTAAATATAATGTAGTATTTGTTCAAAGATAACTCTCAACTATTTGACATTAAACGCTCACGCCCCTAGCATTCATGGTGCTCGAACTCGAAACTTTAAGAAATAACAACAATTTCTTTACCACCGAGGTCGCTTGATTTAAACAATATAATCTTTTTTTTAAGACTGTGTTTTCATTAAATGAAGAACGCAAAGTATAACAAAGACAATACATTGTCAAAATAGAAATCTAATGACATGAAGAAAAATAAAATCAAAATTTTTCTTTGAATATGTATTTTATCTTCCAAAAAACTGGCAACTATCGATAATCTCTATGTCTACGTTCAAAATTAGACGCAATATTGATGTAGGCATGGAAATTGAAAGAGTCAATTTGACAGATTGCTCGTGAATAGTTCTGAATGCTTCAACAAACTACCACAAAAGAGTATTTAACTATACGAGATCGTCAATCTTCTATGATTAGGAGGCACACCATGATGATAAATTCGTGTCATAAAAGCAAACAAACACTCGTGTCATAAAAGTAGACAAAATCAAACTCTTCAAGAATATACGAAAATAAATAAATTAAAACGGGAAGGATGTGTATTTAGATATAAATAAAAAAATTAAGTAAAAAGGAAAAAGAGAGGCGACTACCCTAGAGCGCGCGGCTTAAGAGTACCTTGAAAGAAAAAATTAGAGAACTATTAATTAATTATTAATATGAAATTTAATTTGATTAGTATAATTATAATTACAATATTTAGAGAAATGTAAATTCAACTGTATTTTAACGTGTATTGTGATATTATCGTCTTATATATAAGTAAAGCATTGTAGAGTAGAGACTTTCCTTGGCCTTTGTATGGGAGTTGGGACCCTTCTCCATTGTGGCTTGTCAATTTGCAAATTGGTCCTCACAACATTGGGCCATCTTTGGGCAGACAAATAAATTGGGAAAATTTCCCAAAAAATTGAAAACTCCAATTTCTTGTGTGTTGAGATAAGTATATAATAATTTACTTATACTTCAATTTATAAAATATTTAAAAAATAATTAATTATAATTTTCCAACAAAATATAATATTTTAACGTTGATAATATTATTTGGAATATACACAAATAAAGGTAAAAGTAAATTTTTTTGGTATACAAGCTTGAATTTTAGTAAAATGTCAACCAACTTTTAATTTTAAAGAAAACATTTATAAATTTCAATATTAAAAAATCAACACAAAATTGTTAATTTAACAAACAACACTTTATGTGTTTTAATTTGATTAATTTTAATTTTTTGTTTTTTCAAATTTTAAAACTTCAGTCTTATCTGAATAATACAACAACAATATAATCAATTTATAAAGACTAAAAAAATCAAATAAAAAAGATAGATCGAACTTTGTATACTTTTCTTTTGGAAAGGTTTGGATGTCCGTGGAGCTAATGCAAAAGTGCTTGGAAGCAGGTTTGCTCTCCAAAATCTAAAGGTGGTCTTGGCTTTTAAAATCT